GCTGTCAGTACAGACAGCAGTCAAAAGGCACTGTGATTCTCTTTTCACTATGCTTAACACCTTAATATAATATCATATGTATTAGTCAAACAATGTGCACTTTGAGTATGAACAAGTTCATTTACAGCTTTTATTTCTTACTTTGTGTGATTAATTACCTTTTTAAATTTGTAGAGATATACTCATTAATTTCTTTGCAGTAACTCTTTTTAAAGTATCAGTAATGCAAATGTATGCTTTGGTCAGTCTGAACAGTTAATCATTAGTTTCAGCTTGTGTTTTTAGAGAATAAGTAGCGTCCCCTAAGAATTACAGGATATCCCAGCTCCTTGACTTACTGCGTTAACTGTGCCAGTATTATTTGTGTTTGTATTGTTGCTTCCTCACCATCCTCATAGCTGCTTCCCTGGAAGTGTTTATCATAATGAAGGCCATGAGGCTGGATGCTGTAGTTTCTATCAGCCTTATTGAGGAATGTCACTCTGAGAGTGTCACCCTCCTCTGCCCTCAGGACTGGACCTGTATGAATAGAAAAGGAACACTGTAATCAGATAAGAGATCTTGAGACTTAGTGAACTTGATGAATTTGGTGAATTGTTTCAGGAAACGTATAACAAAGAGAAAAGGTGACTTTTATTCAGAACATGGTGAAAAAAGGGAGGACTTACCCAATAGTCCTAAATGTCCAAGATCAGCTGATTTCTCAGTAGTGAAAGTATCATCTGTGTACTCTTTGTATATCACTTTTATGTATTGACCACCGAGCCTTCCATCATCTCTGCCAAAAAACACATCTGATGGACTACAAAAGAAAAAGATGGGATAGTTGGAGGAAGAAAATGAAGCAAAAACTGTAAATGTGGGTTGTAGTAAATATGTGACCTAGATGTAAAAGCGATGAGAAATGTCTTACTTGGACCTTAGTTACTTACTTAGAACGAAAACTGGTGTCAGATCAGCAATAAATACCAGATAATAACAGATGGGTTGCTGCATGATCATCTAGACTGTTGAATCTTCACAAGCTACTCCCAAACTTGAGAATTCTATTATCTGATGTGAAATCTTTGAAAGCCTGCCACCTGCCCGCACCTTTACACACAACTCTGACTCTCTATTAAAAGATTTCCTTTTGTCACCAAGGAGCTGTCACTACATTTCAACTCTCCATGCAAGTTATGAAAGATGACGTGCTTTTCAGTGCATAAATAAGTGTAAAAATTGATTACATATAAATTGTTTTGATACTTTCAAACTTTATTACAAGGTTTTAAACTATTTTTTACTTGTTGCACACAGAATCACATTGTTCACCTGCATTACCGTCATGCTCCACCTGGGGGCTGTGACCCATGCTCTGGAATTGGTCACTCAAACCAGACCACACAGCCTGAATGAGCATCACATGTACTGTATAATCAGCCCCTTCCAGGGGGCATGCACACAGAAAGTCAAGCCCCATTTTAGAGTTAGGAGTACTGACAGAGATAGAGAGACAAGATCAACCCATAAAGGTATCTTGAGTGTGTTTTGGGGGAAACCTGGCATGAAACTATGTTGGTTTGACTGATGGTGTGTTTGGTTTAAGTCTCTTCTTGAGTTTTTTGGGCTAAATAATAAATCAACTTTTATTTTGAGGTACATGTAAACCATTATTTAGACTGTCTTGATGCATGCTCAATCATCCAGGTAAGTAAATCCCCAAAAGTTGATTCTGTTCATCTGGATGTAGCCTTGTCCAGAGAACAGAATAAACCTTTGGGGCATTATTTAGACTGCATTTTGCAATATGTTGCTCACCTATCTGCTTCAGTAAGGGATACGTTGCTGATCAAATCCCTTCCTGAGGGGGCATAGTTCCACAGGACTTTCTCTGCCGCCAGGTAGTAATTCCTTACAACTCCACCTGTCAGCATGGATCCGGCCTCATTGTTACACGACCTCACTTCATAAAAGACCTGCATCCCAGCTGGAACAGCACACACACAGACACACACACACACGTACAAACCATAATTTAGATAAGTAAAAACTCACTGAGATGTAGACCTTTGAGCAGGTCTCCAGGCTACAGTAACTGTCTATAAAATGATAAAAACATTCCAGAGTTCATTTTAAATGTTTAACTTGCTTATCTTTTAGGAAATTGGGTTTACTCTCAAAATTCTGAGCAGATCTACAAGATGTAAAACTGTCAGTTGTGTGATTTGCAGCCTAAATAGGTTTATAAAACAGTAATGTTACTTTTTTTTGCAAAGGGTCAGGAAAAAGAGAGAGCCATTATAAAAAGCACAGCCTTATAAAAAGTAATAGTTCTTCACAAGAATTAGCGGTAGTCATTGTATGACTCTCTCAATGTTATGTTCAATAGATTTTGGGCAGCCTGAAAATAATAACAAATAATAAAATGTCTGCTCATACCCTTCAGCTTTTAAATTCAGCTGAGTTCTAGAAAGTGTTTTACAAGTCCAGGCAGGCTCAGAGTAGAAATACTAATCTCTGCTGTGGGAATGCTCAGGCTTTGACAAAACAGCAGCACCCCCATGAAAAGGGTATTTCCTTTGTCAGCAAAGTGCTGTAGCAGAAGGTCAAAGGTGACACATAGGTTAAAGGTCAAGCATCCTACCCTGCAAGTGGTCATTAACCTGGCAGGCCAGCAACCACTTTCCATTTGCTTTTGGGACCATCTCGGCTGTTGCGAACGTGGCTGGGAACAGGCTAAGGACGTCAGTGCGGTGACCACGGTCCAGCAGGGTATTCCCATGGAAAAATGCAGAATGAATATCTACCTCATTACCCATCCCAAACAAATGCCAGGCTACTGCGCGGTGCTGACATAACTCGATTCCAGGCAGGTTACCAAACATGTACCCATTAATAGCTGTCACACAGAGAAAAACACACACAATCAGAGGACAATGAGACATTTAGCCATCAAAAACCTCTCCTACAGCCTTTGTTGTCAGAATTAGAAATGTGAAGTGAATTCCCTGTGAACACATTTTAAACTATATGATGCAGATTGCTGAGTTGCATCAGCTGGTTTGGCCCGACTGAATGTGTGCAGTTAGTCCAGTATTAAATGATCCTAAAAAGACTTTAAATATCTATCTCTCACCGTGCATAAGGTTGGACTCTTTAAAGTCTGGGTCTTCTGGGTCAACTGTTTCTGGATCAAAACATCTCTGAATGTTGTTTTTCAAGTACCAACTCATGTTTTCGTCCACCACACTGAACATTAAGAAAACATCCTGGTCGACATCACTGCGGGCGGACTTTGCGGCAGAGTCTCCCTCGGCTGCATTTAGTTCATTAGTCTCCTTCAAGGCTCCTGCACTCAAAGAAAAGGAGCATGCGTAATCTTTGTTTCCTTCTGGTGTCCCACTGTGTGCGATTTTCACGGCAATCCTTCGTTGGCAGTTTTTCAAGTAAAGCAATTTTTTTATGTTATTTTTTACAAAGGCTGTTTCTGAATGAGACTACTGGCTTAGGATGTAGAAATACATTTGATTTAACATACAATTTGTGCATACAGAAAGCTGCATACAGCAGGCAAAACACTGTATGAAACACACCAAACATACAATCAAATATATTTGCCAAATATATTTGTACCTTTCTTGCATGTGAGTAACGCCCCAATAAGTCCTGAGGAGATGTCCCTGGGGGCGTCAATATGAGAGTGGTAGACCCAGGTCAAGCAGTTGGCATCATCATCTGTGGGGCCAAACTCAGGCTTGACCTCCCAGCGGTAGGTATAGCTGCCTCCTGGAGAGACACAGTCATCTTTCTTCAACTTGCTTGATGTCCCGTCTGGATAGAGTGCACCTGGTACACGAAGGGAAAATGTTTGCAAAGAGATCACTCTGGTCAGAAAGCAGCCGAGCAGAGATATTATAGTTTATAGTCTCAATAAGAATTTTGTAGAAAATATTAAAAAACATTTACAAGGATGTTACCGGTATTTAAAGTAGATTTCAAAAGTCAAGGTAGTATTCATTTTCTTTGTTGTTTTTTTTCTACTTTCTGGTAAGCCTTTTAGTTTCTATGGCAGTGTGTTTGAAAACAAAGCATAAATGAGAAGTCACGAGAACACTGATCTTTGATACAGTGTGAATGTCGGGACAAGGTTTAACAAATTAACTGCTTTCTCAGTTCTCAGTATCTTAATGTGCTGACACCACTGACATGTGATCTCATTATCTTTCAGCTCAAGTTCCAGTTTGAGCAAAAAGATGCCACTTAGCGTTCCTCATGTTTAATAAAATTGCTGATTTTAAACCATGACACAAAGTATAACAATAACCATTCTCTATTTTAAGTAGGAAAGGACTGCAGCTGTAGTCTCAGTTTCCACAAGGCTCTCAAGTGTACTCCGGCAGGATTTCCCCTTCACATGATTGGGGTGGGGGTGGGTGATGTACGAGCTTCTTGCATAGCAGAGAGCTGTAAAGTTCAGAAAACCTAAGAGACATATCTTTATAAAACATCTGCCATAGCAGTCACTCATTTTCTGGAATTGTGATGTGCCACTTTTTCTTCTGTTTCTAGGAGAACAGTACCACGCCTTCTTGGAACTTCATAAACAATGGTAGCTATTTCATGTAACTTCAAGCCCTTTTGGATTTTTAAAAAGTTATATTATTCAGTTCTTATTACAAATTTTGAACACAGCAACAATCGGTATCATTCAGTATGAATAAATGACACTTTGTATCCCTCACTGACAGCACTTTGTTCTTGTAGGTGTGCCTCTGTGTGCAAAAGCACCATGAATTTTTCTGTCTATATCCAGTAGTATGGAACATTTTACCTTCTGTATCCTTCTCATAGAAAACCCCATGGGGATGCATAGAGTAGTTCCTGGTTGCAAAGTTCTTTAAGTGGACAACAATAGTTTCATCAACCTCAGCACGCAGTATGGGTCCCAGGAAGCCCAGCCAATCAGGTCGAGGAGACAGGCGACTGTATGAAGCATCTGTATACTCTTTGAACACAGCTTTCTTGTAAATACTTCCAATTCGATGGGGCCCTCCCTGTAGGAATATTGATGCATGCCTGAGAAAGTTTGAAAAGGAAACAACAAGAATGTGAGACACACAGTGGAGCGATTATACAGAATTCCGAGAGTGTGTAGGAGACAGACAAGAAAAATGCTTTTTTTTTCTTCTTGCATTTGTATTTGTTAGGGTCAACGTCAAGTTCCACGCTGCAACACCAACTTTCAATCAAACTTGTACAAATATAGCAAAAGTAAGTGCATTGCCTTTCTAGGTTTTCACAAAAGGCTATGATAGATCTTTTAGTTTATACAATTTTGATTATTGTCTAACGGCTAGAATTTCATTGTAGACCAAACAAGAACTAGATCTTACCTGGTGTAAGAATAGATGTAAAGCCACTGAACAAATTGCATGTGGTTGCAGGTCTTTAACAATTAGACATATCATTATTTTAATAACATGTTTTGGGGAGCTAATAACAGGTTGTTGAAACTGTAGCTGATGCACTTTTGGAAGTAAGATTATCTTAAATAGATTCTCAAATGATTTTGACTGAAAACCTTGATGCCTGTCTGATTACCGCTGTTTCAGTCAGAACCCGAACAAAGCAAAAATAGTGCTAACATTGCTCCAACACTGCCTATTCGTTTCCCCTTCTCTGTCTTATAATACGACAAATGGCTTTATTATTCTAATGCCATGCAAACGCATTGCAAGTTGATTTGACGCAATTCCACATTTTAAATGATGGGATACAAATGGCAGGAAGAAACATCTTAAAGCTTCTTGTGAATTCAGTTTGCCATGAAATGGGAGTGAAAAGACAATATGATATCTAACAAAGATAAACATGCCCTGCAGTGATTAAACAGCTTGAGACAGTTTAAGTACAGCCTGTACACTTTGAGAACGTTATTAGCACGTCCAGAGGTTCAGTTAAATTTAGGAATGCCATGTATTGTGTAAGAATGAAGCAATTCCCTTATGCTTCACAATTATTTATTTCTCTGACAGGAAGGACAAAATTGTCTCAATCATTGCGCAACACCCATGTGCATTCCTTCATTTCATGAAAAATGTGCAAATGTGTCCAGTCTAATGTCCTCTTTTTTAATATAAGAAAGGGATTTTTGATTATTAGGTATTGGTTCCTGAACTATAACAGCAGAAACACAGACAAATGTTGTGAGTTGTCAATGCTTACATGTGATGTAAGTACAAGCCGCATTAACAGTATTATTTTATATGTTTTTTTTTCTAGAAATTGAAAACTGTGAAATGCAAGGGTCACACAGTCTCATTGTCACATCTCTCATTAAATTCCTAACCATGGTGTGATGCAAATGCTTCTGTCAGACAGGATCTCTGTGCCTCCTTTTTGGTGATTGGCTGCACATAAAGACACATGGCAGATAGATACACAGTAAAGGAAGCCTCTAATCTAATGAGAGGAGACAGTAATTCGCTGTTAGTCATTGTCATCTTTCCTGCACATCCGTTAGACTGCCAGCAAAGCACACAAAGTCTAGACACTGTCACACCCCGAGCACGCGACATAATCCACAAGTTTTGCACTAAAACTTTTTTGTATCTCTAAACTGTCTTTTCTTTCGCGGTCTATTTTTTATTCCCACATGAGTTTAATGACTTTCTACTTGTGAGTGATCTTAGACATTATATATAAAGGAGCTAAAAATAAAAATGAATATTTATAAGCAATTAGTGCCGCCACTATCTGAGCATACTTTTCCGAATGTCAACTCACTCATCGTCTTCGATGTCTTTCCCGTTAAGCAGGTTTTTTCCACTTGGTGCGTAATCCCAGAAGTCCTCAATGATCCCCACATAATAAACTCTCTCCCTGCCGCGCTCCCCGCTCGCGCCCAATGAAAGAAGAAAAATCAGCAAACAAGTTGCAAACAACCCCAAAGTCCGTGCCATATTCAGCTGATCGCAGTCTAAAATGCTGGCCAAAGTGATCAGCGGGTTTTGCTGGTACAGGAACAAGTGGTAACCTTTCACTCTTCCATGTGAATGCGAATGTCCGTCTGGACCGCAGCGCTTACGAAACTCAAAGCAAAACAGTCAGGCTATTCAGCCAGAGGCTACGCCTCCAGTAGTATCTGATGTGCAGGGATAAGAACCAGTAAGTATTCCCAAGTCAATTATTTCTTTCTGGATTTAATTGAAGCGGTCTGCTGGGAAATTAGGTTAGTTAGATCCACTACGCAAAAGAGGCAGTGCCAAGCACTGCGGATCTCTAATTTGACTTTTCAGCTTCACAAAAAGCACTTTTGATGTGTGTTTACAGTTTTATTTGTTTATATTTGATCCTACAGTAGACTGATGAAATAGCAGCCCACAAAGAACTCAATTTTTTTTTTTTTTACCTTATCTTCCTTTAACGGTTCTAGGTGTTGCCACCAGTGGCGGTTCCAGAATTTTTAAACATAGGGCGGCACAGTGAGGGGCCAAGAACAAGGGAGGAGAGCCCAGAGGAAATAAGAATTTTTCATGAATGTCAGTGTAGAAAATATTGGGCATGATTTTAGGCTCATGCGCAGCTCTGTTTTCTAATACAGATTTATGAAAAGCCAGCTGCAAGAATCCAAAAATCCTTTTATAACCATAGCTTCTTTACTTTAAGATTACTAAGTTTTAGCGAAATATTATTTAAGTTACTTAATAACAAGTTATATGTCAAGCTATATATTTGCAGGATTTTTTCTTATTTCCTAAGAACATTAGTTTCAGATACTGTTCATGTGCTGTAGATGATAAAAATACCATTTTATGCCTGTTAAGTTGTGTTATCACTAAAATGTTTGACAGATTTAGTTAAAATAGGAACAAACTATGGTTTTTTGCAAAAAAAACCCACTGTTTCATCCGTTTTTACTCGATGATTCATAGGTCAGTGTTAAGTGCATTCAAAACAAAACAAACAAAATAATAACAATAAAAAGTCCTCTTAAAATAGTCTTGAATGGTTTTTAACAAGTGGAAATTCTTAAAACCATACTGAGCTCATTCCCTTCAACACAACCTTACATTCTCTAACTTGAAATTTTGTGTCGTAATTTCGGAGGCAAGGGTGACACCTGCTGACCTAGTCGGGACATTACAAGAATATACATGAAGCTTGGTGAACTATATGACGTATCTATGACTTTAAAACTAACAAGTTTTAGATGATGTGTGGTATTAGTGTTCTATTTAATTTTGTTTTTAAACAAAGAATATCTGCTCTGTAAAATTTGCATCACTCTCCATACTGTACACAGTGCAGTGAGATGCCCTCGATTTGCTGACTGTCATGGGACAGGGAACCACGTGATATAAGAGCATGAGTTTAATGGAGGAGATAATTGCAGTAATTCCATTCTGTGCTTCTAATTTGAGATAGGGTCAAATCTTAATAAAGCTGAATTGAAAATTGAACCATAACTTGTGTGTTTACACTGACGGAAACAAAGAAATTATTCGGCATATCTGGGTTAGTCGCTGGATGCAAGACTTGCTTGTAACAGGCTACCTATAAAAATGTCACAGCTGTTATTGCACCCGTGTAAAGAGGACTCTTCTCCTAACCTTATTGATCAGCACCGGGCGCGTGCATAGCTCATCCTCGTGACCGCGCCCCTTTTAGGGAACGCGCACGGCAGCCTACCACCTTCCTGCTGTCACTGTGCACAGACATGGCTGCTCTCAGCAAAATACCGCATAACTGCTACGAAATCGGCCACACTTGGAGCCCGTCGTGTGTGCAGTCTGCTGCCGATGTGACTAGGAGTGCTCTGGAGGTGTCCTTTAAAATATACGCGCCTCTTTACCTGGTAAGACGTTTGACCTGAAATATAACTGTAGACTGTGAGGCTAGCTAAATAGCTAAAGTTAGCGAGCTAACTAAAGTAAAATGGCTTAGTAGTTCGCAGAAAACCTCTAAAGATAGGCTGGCACGTCGCTAGTGTTGCACTTAGGTACGAAGTCCAAGTTGTACATGTGGCCGATGAGATAAAGGAGCAAAAACATGTCATGCAACTTCAGCCAGGTTCCCCCTTTGTAAATTTCATTGCCCTCTGGGCACTCGTCACGACTGTAAGTGTAAACTTTAGCAGAGTTGGAACTGTATTTGTCTTGCATCTCCAGTGTGCAGTAACGCACTGTGCTTTGCAGATAGCAGCAGTTCTAAGGAGAAGGAAGAAGGATTACTACTTAAAAAGGCTTATCCCAGAGATCTTTTGGTCTACCTCTTTCCTGACTACCAATGGGGGTCTCTTCATCGTTTTCTTCTGCATTCTCAGGTCAGTGAACCCATGTCTAGAGTATGTAAACACAAACTTGGCACTAAGCTGCACTGTCATTATGTTTATTAATGAAAACGAAAGTGAAATGTATACAGTATGATATATGGATAAACTGAGCATGAACGGTCATGTTCTGTGAACCACACCTGCTGAAGCTGAAGCCACTTTAGCTTCTTCCACGTGTGCCTCCTTTCCTTTAACCTGTCAGCATCTGAGTGTGTCAGCTTCATGTCCTGGCCACTGTGGTCATGTTTGCATTAGGGTCACCCTCTGTGGACATCTGTGATAAAATAAACCCACTATTAACTTTATGGTCTTGTTTGCTAGTTTAAGAAAACATTTTTTTTAAATAATTTTGTAAATTTGTGTCCCATTTAGAGTAAAGTAAAAGGTGGTTCTATAGTGTCATGGTTTGACTAATAAGGAAAAGGTCCCTGGACCTTCCAGGAGTAGATACAAATCCCTTGGGTGTTACGTCAGGAAGGCCAATCAAACATGCAGAGATATCTGCTTATTCATAAGGAGCTGGCACTGCTGTGGCAACCCCTTGTGGATAAGGGAATTGCAGAAAGTAGTGTATGACTACAGTATCAGCTTGGATTGTCTTTGTCTATCGTTTCAATAAGTGCGCATTTTAAATACTTGGATAATACTTTCCTTATCATGGAAAAATGGAAGACGGAAGAGCTGACAAAATCTTGTGCTGACAGTGTGGGATTGTCTTCACTGAAACGTCCCAGCTGGGAAAAAAAAGGAAGTGAAATAATGCAGTGTATTTTAACTGCAGGAGACTTTTGGGAGGCTTCTACTCCTGGTCTGTTGGGTTTGGCTCAGCACTGCCAGCCTCTTATATTGCCATCCTGCTGGAGCGCAAGAGCAGGTGAGATGCCCGTCTGTTACGTTTCAGTATGTTTTTTCTCTCCTCTCCTAGATTCAAACATGTTTCATTCACATAGTTTACTTTTTGCCTTTTCGCCTCTTTCTTTTTCATCCTCACAGGAGAGGGCTGCTGACAATATACATGGCAAATCTTGTAAGGGCCGCTTCTTTCGAATATTAGTAGTTGTATGTGAACCTTGCTATGTGTCTGCATTTTTAATAGCGTAATGTTGTTCTCAGGCCACTGAGACTTTGTTTCGCATGGCAGTGACACGAGGTGTCGTCAAACCCATTAAACATGGCGAGGTAAGGTCAAAGGGTGGGGCTATGAGCTTGTTATCAGGGTTAGGTTTAGATCATGTAAATTACTGCCAACCTAATTTTTTTTTAAGACTCTCTCTTGTTTTTGTTGTTGGATTATGAGTCTAATAATGCAACTACAGGGAACTCCAGTTGTGAAAACTGAACAGACTTCAGTAAAAAGTATCAACGGATCCAAAAAGAAGCATTTATGACTTTATAGTTCTGACAAGACTGCACAGTGGTGAAATGAGTCATGTGTTTGATTCTTTCTCTCTCTCTGCTTCCCATTAGGTGCTGTTGTTCTGCATTACTTCATCACTCTTTATGTTCTTCTTCAGGTTAGAGCAGCACAGTGAACACATTGTTGCAAGTGTTAATGCTTTAAGGTTAAGCTGAATTTTGTTTTATACTATAGAAGTAAAGATGGTCTCAAAGGCTTTGCATTCTCCGCATTGAAGTAAGTTGTTCCCGTTTCTATTGATGCCTTCATTTTCACTGCTGATGAAAAAGGTTTATAGATAAAAGTTTATAGAAGTGGTGTGTGTTTTCTGTCTTAGATTCATCATTGGGAAAGAAGAGATCCCAACACACTCTGTGCTGGCTGATGATTCACAGCCATCAGCAGAAAGGCCTGACTCTAGAAGAAAGACTCTTCTATCCTCCACCAGGAAACTGCTCGAATCGATGTGAGAGAAAACACACCCGACATCATGGCAGTGTGTTGGATTGTGGCTTACATGAACTATTTTTCTTCTTCTTCTTTTTTTTTTTTTCCCAAATCCAGATGCAAACGGGGACCAAGACACAGATGTTGCAAACATTATAATGACAACTGCATATCCTACTGTGTCAAAGTAAGTCTCCCTCTTCCCAAGAAGTTAGTTTTTGTGTGATCCCAATCCTTTGTGATGTTCTCATAATGCTTATTCATTTACATCTTAAATAATGATACTTGATTAAGATTTGTTATCATTTGTCACCGTAGGGTTTTGTCAGGATGTTCAGTGTTGGCTACGTGATTCAGTGTTTACTTAAAGTGCCATCAGCATTCAGACAGATGTTTTCGAAACCCTCCCGGCTTCCCTCCCTCTTCTACAACAAAGAGAACTTCCAACTCGGGGTTTTTCTAGGCTCCTTCGTCAGTATCTATAAGGTAGATGTGCTGTTTTGTTTTCTATTAGTATCTTTATTATGTTCCTTTCCTGCTTACACATTTGATTTCCTGTCTTTTTCTTGTCTAACCTTGCCATGTTGTTGTATATTGTGCTTTTCTTTCACTCAGGGAACAAGCTGCTTGCTGCGCTGGATGCGTAACATTGATGATGAACTCCATGCGCTTATAGCTGGTGAGACAGGATGGTGTAACCTGTCACATAAAGTCCCTGCAGAATGATCCTCCTCGGGATTCTGTTGTGCCTTTGCTGATTAACTTCTTTTCTCATATGTTTCTCCATCTCTCTTTTTCCTGAAGGCTTCCTGGCTGGAGTTTCAATGTTCTTCTACAAAAGCACAACAATATCCATGTATCTCTTTTCTAAGCTGGTGGAGGTAAAAACAAACACAAAAATCATAGAAATAAAAAAAAAAAAGGTCCTCATACTGATATATTGTCTTTGAACTAAAGTGTAAATGTAATAATAAACTTGTATCAATATAAAAAAACAGAATTAATGCTTTATTGATAAATACCACATTTTTATCATTATTCAGGTATCTCTGCCTGGTTTTATGTAGTAATCACTGACATGTGCAGCCACGTAAACATGTTTCAGAAACTGCAACAAATACACTTAACATATACAACATTTCCTATGTATCCCTCTCTTTAGACTATCTACTTCAAGGGCATTGAGGCTGGCCGGTTGCCTTACATTCCACATGCAGACACAATCATATATGCCATCTCCACTGCGATCTGCTTCCATGCTGTAAGTAAACATGCTTTCTTACTCACATACATATGCTTCACACAATTTTCTTTTCTTTTTTAAAGCTGAGCAAGGATATAATGCTTGATGTATGGCTTCTACACAGGCTGTGATGGAAGTGCAGAACCTCAGGCCAACTTACTGGAAGTTCCTGCTGCGTTTAACCCAGGGCAGGTATGGATGTATGGAAATTGTAAATGTCATCTTACTTTGAACCTCTGACCGCTTCTTCAAGGTCAAATAAGGTCATACTTGTGTCTTTAAAAATATGCTTAAAATTTACTTAATTCGTTTGTATTGGCAACATTTCAGAAATGATACTGGTGTGTGGGGATTCTAAATATCACATTACAGTTTGCATCCAAATATCATGTCACATTTGACCTCTGACCTCACTTTTATATTTCTCATCTGCCTTTCTTTCAAGTTGACTCCAGTATGAGATGCCTGCAAAGAATTGTGGAGAGAAAGAGAATGAGCTGGCTAGTTAGTTAGAAATGTAATGTAGTGTAATAATAAATAATAAACTCAAGTTATTCATGTCCAGTTATTTACCAATCAATTCCTGTTATCCATTACCTACTCCTGCAAAATGTTTGTATATTTAAAGTAAACCTTATCTGATTTTTGCTGCGCTACAAACTTCTCAAAGTACGTTTAAAAATACCAATGAAAACAAAATGAATATATGAAAATGACAGTATTACTACCCTTAAGAGTAAATAGTGCCCAGAGATTGAGCTGCCTTGCAGAGGCCTGTGTACTTGGAGTGCTTGTTGTTAATCAGGCTTTGAGCCAAACCATACAAGAAGATATCAAAGTTACTTTGCAGGAATCTCATATAAACGAACAATATTTTAGATAAGTTGTCACTTTTATTCAACATCAGCTTTGTTCGTGTTGTCTTCAATAAAACTGTACAGGGCCTTTTCTCTCTCTGATTTTCTAGGTTTGCTCTGATGAACCGACAGGTGCTAGACATGTTTGGGACTCAGGCTTCCAGAGACTTTAAAGGCTTTGTGCCCAAACTGGACCCCCGTTACACCACGGTGCCCAGCAAGACAGTGCTTCTACCGGGAGGTGACATCCAACTTGGATGATTTGGGACCAACAGATTGACTTTGGTTACCTCAACATGAAACTAACAGCCTGGTTGTTCTCTCTGAGGAACTTAAGGGTATTTTGTTTTTCTTTTAAAGGTGTGATGCTGCAGAAGTAGTGATGTGTTATGAAAAAGATATGCTTTGGATTGCACCCAAGTTCAAAACAGGGTTTCTTGAGGGTTAATTGTTGAGCTGTAGAAGCTCACTTACTGACAAAGACTGAACTTTACAGGTCACTTGTTTGAAAAAAGTGAAACGTACAATTTCATTTTAGCTCTGTCATTTTTGTCAAAATTGACATGGACATTAATAAAAAGATTTGTTAGTCCTAATGAAAATGAAAAACAACGTAAATGATCTGAATGAACAACAGATTTTGCTAGATTGTCAGTTTGTATTTGACACGACGTAGTGATCGAACAGCTGGGACAGTTCCTTCAATAACAAAATGCTTTTGAAAATAAAAATGATTGGGTGTGTTTCAACCACATTCTTTTTATCCTTTAAACACAATCTGGATTTTTGGCAAGTTACCTTTCAGTTTGCTCTGATTTTTGTGCTGTTTGAGTGGTTGTATTCACAGAGATTAAACCTCACAACTCCTGTTGGAGTAGCCACAACGATGTGTTTTGACACTGATTTAAAAGCAGGAAGAACGTGGGAAGAATTTTACACCCTGATCTTTTCTGAATGTGTGTTTAAAGGCAGGGAGACATATAATAATGTAGCCTTATTCAATCAGTTATCCATAGTAGCAGTGGGAGTTTTATGTAGATCCTCCAATACAAAACACAGAGGTACCATTTTAGCCAGATGGTTAAACTACAGTAGATAGTATTTATTTCAATTAATTTATCCACCTTAAGAGATACTTGGCAATTTTAGGAGTTATTTGTGGTCAAATTGATGTAGTAATAAATCTCACTGCAATTGACATTTACTAAAAGTCACAGGTGGAAAATAAATCCATTCACACTGACAGCGTTAATTGACGCTGAGTAAGTTCACTTGTGAATTGCACTGAGACTCTTTGCTTGCACGTAAGAAACCAAATTATTAGTTCAGTTGTTGTAGGGAGGGAAATGAACACATGCAGTGTGATCACTTTAAACTTGTTTGGAATGTGCAAATTGTCTATGAACACACCTCTGCCTCATATTTTAAAAGGTGGGGTTATTTAAATGTATTGAATGTTACATGTAATTATGCTACAGTCTAAAGAGATTATTTGTTCAGTGCACTGACTATTGCAGTTAGCTTTGCAGTGATTGTAAGTTTGACTCGGTTTAATAAGTTTGGGTACTTGGATTTACATCCTCAGGCTCTGCATTGAGAATTTTAATCTAAATTTACTGGAAATTCCAAGTTGAACCCTGTCACTAAAATTCCACTTTGATCAACTGTGTAAACTGACGAATTTGGAGCATTTCCTTAAGGCTGCTGTGTTCTGTGAATAAAAAGAAACACTCAGCTCAATTTGGTTTTGGTTTTGATTTATGTATTTATTATTGTTTTTGGAAAGATATGTGTCTGCAGGAATAGATTGTTGTTTACTAAAGAGTGGCATTTGCATGTTTTACTGATAAATGAACACGTTTTACAGTTAATGAAATTCTGAGTCTAAGGATACTACGTAAAGTTGTGAGTGTACAACACAAATTACATCATATCAGTATCAGAGTAAATACTTTACAGTATATTTTAACAGTAATCGGAAAAAATGTCATACCAGTGCACTGTATCACATCCCAATTTACATTTATCAAATCTAGCAAGCAGACAATATAAAAATTTCCAAATATCATGCAGGGGACATTTAAATTAGCTTTTCTCTTGCAGCATCCTAGTATAAAATTCGAAAAACACTGTTTACTTGCACAGTCTGCACTTTGTCTGTGGAGGGCAGCAAAGATGCCCGCAGTGTTTCAGTTTAAGAAGAAGAAAGAATTAACGGAAGTAAGCACAAGCGATTTCAAGTTTTTTGAGAATGTTACTGCTACTGCTGTTATGTGTGTAGCAGTGTGTTTAAAATATAAATTAAAATTTGTTTAACATTAATTCCCAAACTATGTCGCATGGTAAGTGCAAACTTAAAATATTTTAGAATCCAAGCAAACCTACTGTATGACTTTATACTATATATATGTATATATATATATATATATATAACATTCAGATTATATACAAGCTAGTACATGCATATTAGTTCTTAATTTAAAAAAAAAAACATTTTTAGAACAACAAAACACCACAATCATCACCATGGTTTTGTTAATACACTCAGAAAACCAAAGAAGAGTAAAAATCTATGATAGCAACAAGAAGTCGTACACATGACCCATGATTACGTAGTGGCTATAGTAAAATGCTCCAAGATCTAACCCCATACTTAAATTTTCTGTTTTCAGAAAGAAAGAATTCTTATCTGGGGTTTAAATTCACAACAACAAAGATACATACAGGGGGAGGAGATAAGAAGTATGACCACTTAATTCCGTAGATGAGCATTGTTCCAAATCAAGTCAAACTTTCAAAAGTTCTGTAAAACTCAATTTTACACTGATGGACATATCTGAGGGAAATGTCAGTCTTATCTTTGCAAATTCCTGCAATTAGTTTGTCACAAGGCATATTTCAAGTACTTATTATCTATTGACTACAAAAATGCAAAGATCCTGTGACAACGAGCACTGATAATAGTCTTCGTTAGAAAAGCCAGTACCAATAGTTATCACCAAAAACCCAAAAGGCAGAATTATAAAACTTTGACACGGGCGCTTTACTTTGAAAGATGTAAACAGGAAGTCCAGACTTCCGGAACACGAGCGTGACCACTGGCGTTAGGTCTGTGTAATGAAATGCTGTCAGCTTTAGTAACTACAGAGTTATCATAGGAAATATACACTTTAAAGATTAATACATAGCCATGGGGGGTAAGAATAAACAGCGAACTAAAGGAAATGTTCGGGTGAGTTGCTCCCACTGTCTGTAAGGCAGAGTGTTAAAGACAACAGCTAAAATTGCTAACAACAAAGCCGAAAAAGAGCTAATGTAAACTTCTGATTATCACAACGCGTGACATAGCTGTGGTGTTTGATAGATGTAGCTAACCACACTTCGTTTTTTTCTTTCCCGCCACTAGCCGTCCAGCAGCGGCCGAGCTGCTGAGGCCCTGACCCGGGAAGGTGGCGTAATCCCGGCGTTTGTTGGCTTCGGTTCGACCGTCGCCTCGGAGCTGAGTTACGTTCCAGCTGTCCACGGCGCGGAAGACATAGACAACCTGGTAGATGCAGATTTCCGCCTGGTGCTCAGAAAATTGTCGAAGAGGGATGTTGTCACCAGACTCAAGGTGAGTTTAAACCCCAGCTGTAAGTTTAACTGTTATTCTGCTTGATGCCAGATACACAAACCCCGTCATGATTTCACTGTAAATAAGTCATATTACGCAAAACATATGCTGGGAGTTTAGCATATGTTTATATATGCATATGAAACACTGAGAGTTTCAGTGAACAGCCACCAAATAAAAGTTTAACACTTAGAGTGAACTCCAAATCTCCATACTGATGAAACTTTCCTCACCCAGCCAGGAAACTACTTGTCAGTCAATTGTCCAATTACATTTGAGTCGTCTCTGAAAATAGTTGATCTGTATGTAAACATGGTTACCTTTTTAAAACGGTGAATTCTGTACTTTTGATTAAACTGTTCAATTAAAGCAGCAAGTTTGTTTCAATCATGTCTTGGTTGCTTGAGTTAAACTCCACTTTGTTGTGTACAGAGGTCACTTACAAAAACTTAACATTTGTTGAAATCTAACTGAAACGCAAATTGTAGCAGCTTACTCTCAACAGGAAAGAAATGACGTGATGACATCACACCTGTATTAGCCTCCTTAAACTGGCTTGCACTCCATAGCAGGATTCACTTTTCAGGATCTAAGTTTTAAATAGTCTCAGTGGTTTTGATGCCATCTTACTTAGCTTTTCAGTCATGGCTTGTGACCTTTGAAAGAACTTATCTTTTCACATAAGAGCTGCCCAGTCTGAACAGACTGATTAAAAACCTACATATTCTCACTTGCTTTCAGTTCTAGTTGAGCAGGGTACATTGTCTTTTTTTTTTTTTTTTTATAATGCAAGCACAGTCTTACTTACTTTGTTTGATTGTTTTTAGTGTATATTTGTTGTTGATTTAGTGACTGTTGTGTATAGTGTATATTTCGTATAACAGCTGACATTGTTTGAAATGTGCTATAGAAATAAACTTTTGACTTTAGTTGACTTGACATAATTGCTATGTAAAAAGTTAAAAAAGCACACATACCCACACACATGTTACAAACAGTACCATAAAATACTGTGTGGACATGACTGTTAGATACGTTGTTTTTTTGTCCAAACTTGTCTGGTGATTATGTGTAATCTTCTCAGGCTGTGCAGGATTTTGGGTCCATGTGTCAGGAACGGGATGCCGATGTTGTCAAAGGGATCCTACCATACTGGCCAAGGATTTACTGCAAAATATCAGTGGTGAGCTGTCCATTTATTGGGAAATCATGATTAGTTTTCATATTATTTCGATTGTTATTATTGTTACTATTAATTTAAACTATTCTGGAAAAATTAATGACATTTAGTGCATAACAAACCACTACTTCAGATTTCATATCAATCAATTCAATTATCCCATTTTTACCAATGTGTAATTATAAAAATGTGTAAAAGTATTTCTCACTAAGTGGCTGCCTAAAACTACACTAGAAGAACATTTTATATGAGATTTAAATATGTGTTTGTTTGTTCTTAGGGTGTGTCTATATTAAAAAAGGTTTTCTCTTCATAATGTCTGTCAGGATCACGATCGACGCATTAGGGAGGCTACCCAGCAGGCTTTTGAGCAGCTGGTGCTAAAAGTACGTCGCAGCTTGGCCCCATTTCTGAAAAGCTTGATGGGTCACTGGATTCTGTCCCAGTGTGACACCCACACACCTGCAGCCTCAGCTGCGTTCCAGGCCTTCCAGGCTGCTTTCTCACCTGCAAAACAGCCTGAAGCTATCAGCTTCTGCAAGGATGAAATCCTTAATGTGAGTAGAAGCGGTGGCATCATTGTGGACGTGGTGAATTTTCTGCTTTAGCTGAATTTAACATGCAATTGTTGTTTTTACATTGCAGGTACTTCAAGATGTTTTGTTGAAGGAAACGGCCGACACACTGAGTGATTCCCAGTATGCTAAGATTTCATCTCATTGTAGCACCTCTGTTCATCCTTCTCACTGTGCGCCACGATGATAATGTATTCTGTCTTTGCTGAGGCACTGATTTTTACTTGTTCTCTAGAAGTTTGACGGAGGAGGAGAGGGAAGCCAAATATGTGCGCATGCTGACCAGTTCTCTGTTGGGGGTGAAGAGACTTCTCTCCCTGCTGCTCCAGGATGACAGGGCGGCCCTGGAGACAGGACTAGCACATCTTGTTAATTCTGGAAAGTTTTGGAAATATGGCAAACACAAGATTCCACAGGTACTAGCTGATTAGGCCTGATTTGAATGGTATTTGTAGTGTGCAAAAAACAAACCCTCAAAACAAACAAACAAGGTGTTTTTGCTGGGCTGTCACCTGCCAACAGAAAGCTTTAAATGCACCATGACATTAATTTCTGTTACTGTTTGTTTGCATGTTTTGGCTAAATCTGAACTGAATAAGCAACTGTTGTTTACTGTTGTAAAAATTACAACTGCAGGTGAGGGGGGCGTTTTTTGAGATGGTGTGTGCTCTGTGTGAGTTCACACCAGGACTGGTCCAGGCTGAAGCAGCGCGTCTCTGTCCCGCTGTCCTCCTCAGTATCGACGACACGGATCCTGTAGTGCTGCCCCCCGTGTGGGAGGCTGTTCTCCACGTTGTGTCTACAATCCATGTAAGCTCATGTTTAAAACATGTCCATGCAATAATGATAATACAGCTGGATTTCTGATATTAAAATGAAGTGAAAAAGTAGTGCAAGAAGACATTATGTTAAGCAACAACAAGTAGATGTGTTTTATTTTGTTGTTGTTTTGTCTGTGTGTGGTTTAGGATTGCTGGACACACGTGAATGCCAAGAAAGGCTTCTTGCCCAAACTTTGGGCTCTGTTAAAAGAGGGCGGCAAAGGCATGGCTAAAGGTTTACACCCGAATCTGATGCCGCTTCTTAGTAAACTGCCCCCAGAGGTCACTGATCCAAAGATGGACTTCTTCACCATGTTCTTCACTACATTCGCACAAGGGTAATTAGTTTATGTGTATATTTCTATCTGTTTTTTAAAATGTATGCATGTATTATGTTGAATGAGAAAATTGTACAGGTCAAATTAATACACTCAGAAAGTAAATGTATTACTTGAATTCTTTAGCAAGTCATTTGATGAATAATATTCTTATTACTCTTCATGTAACTTAATAATCTTTTGCACTATATAACCTCAATTGTGTGATTGTGTC